ACTCAGATTTAACTAGCTCAAGAGCATTGGTGGCAATCGTAACACAACAAATGCTTGTAGGAATGTCAGGCATGCCTGTGTACTATGCGAAAAAAAAAATGACAACAGGCACACAATGTATTGGGAACACCCTGCTCTTACTGGGCATGGTGGACCAACCAGCGATGAAGACTGAAAACACCTGAGCTGAGTGGCTGACCTCTGTAAACCATGACATGCATCTCTTGAATAGGGAAATGTTATTTACTGCCTTTTTAAATTGTTTTCAGGCCTGATGATTAAAAGCAGTGCAGAACAGGGAGGATATTACTATTATTAAAAGCTTACAGTCTACGTGGATGACTGGGCCCTGCTTCTGGCTGAGAAATGGCTGGGCTACATGACTTTGGGCAAAACCCCAGGCTTTTGTGTCACTTACTTTATTTATAAGTATATATAAGTATCTATATTTAAAGTATTTCAGAACAGTGCCATGGGACTTCATTAATAATTGGCAATAAAGCACTCAGAGATACTCAGATAGAAAGTGCTATGAATTATATGCTTCTTCCTCTCACTCTCTTTCGTGTGTTAATCTAAAGATAAAAATGCTGTATTTAACCAACTGGGTTCCTTTCCCCCAAGGAAACACTCTAGTGAAGTAAAATACAGGTTTCTGAATAACGAACTCAAGACTTAATTTTTCTTATAAATGATAAATAACAATGTGGTTACCTGGAGACATTCAGAGCAGGAGTCTGATGAAGAGCACTGTTTGTGGCATAGTGACGCGTAGCTGAGATGGCAAACCTTTCCAAGTACAGTACTTGAGCGAGGACAATGTTTTTTCACGATGAGCTGGGGAGAAAGCAGTTGTTATCACTAGCATTAATGAAGAGCAACAATATTAAAAACTTTGTTTCTGCCAAATGCAAGGCAAAACCAAGCTTTTGATATTTTTCTATCAATGGATTTATAGTTAATCAGTGGATATTACTGTATTTGACAATGCAATCGTAAAGTAATCCCAAGTAACATCTGGAAGGCAGATCTGTTGCTTTTATAGTGTTTCAGATTTAAGTTTGGCATAAGCTATAATCCAAAGGGAGGAAATCACCCAGTTATGGAATGGAAAAAGACACTTTATTCAAGAAACATTCATCATTGTTTTATAATTGCCTCAGCTATAGTTTCAAAAAACGTGAGCTACATTGTGAATGGACCTCAGTACTTTGGGCAGACAGGAATATTTTATAAAAACGTAGGAGCTGACAGGAGGCAGCAGCCCACTGCTTCCTTGAGTGGAAAGCAGAGCATTATCGCGCAGTAACAGCCGAGCTGTCACAGCTTTTACAGAGGACAAAACTCTACTCTGAGATATGTGGTCTCTACCTAGGGTATGCAGAAAGAAGTTCCTGCATCTGAGGCTAGAATTAGATCCCGCAGAAGAGGAAAAAATTGTGAAGATCATTAGACTTTCTCCTACATGGGCTCCATATTGGCATAATTCCCTTGACTTCAATAGATCTGCTCCGATTTATACTCATCCTGCTAGGTCAATCGGCATGAATATAGGACGTAACAAATATATATTTCTTACTCCCTAGTCTTTGTAGACACTCAGAGATCTAATTTGATGTAACTATAAAGTGCACTTGGACAAAAGGAGACTAGAAACCACTGTTTGCAGTGATAACCTCCGTCACTGAGGGGTTTCTTTCCTTTTTCATTCTGGATTCATTTTTGCCCTTCTGATTTGCATTCTCCTCCCCTTAAGACAGTCAGGAAATAAACTCCTTTCAACCTCACTAGAGGACATAAAACCTTTATATTTTAAAAGTCTTTGCAATCTTGTCAAAGGAATAAATATGACAGATGCTAAAATCAGTAAAGAGTGATTTGAGAGCGTTTAGAGAATCCTACTGTTGCTTCCTCCATCACGTCCCGAGTTGGTGTGCTTGAGTGCAAAGCCACAAGCACCGTCTGAGCTGCTTCCCAGCTGGTGAGTTCTTGTCTTTCCATTTTATGCCTCAAGAACCTGAGTGCACGATGACTGGCAACTGCAGGAATTATATCCAAAATATAGCGCCTGTAAAGGGAAAGGCAAGGACTGATTTCCAGATCTGCACTTGAACATAGTAATTCCAGATGGTCTCCTACAGAGCTTATCAGCAGAAGGACTACCACTCATGGTGCTCGTACCTGTATGCTGGCCGACTGGAGAACTGCTTCCACACTGACTCGTAATTCTCCTCTTTTGCTGCACGGAAGAGGTGCAGAAGCTTGAGGGCTTTTGCTGGTGCATCACTGAGAAGCTGTTCGGATGTGGTCTCTACTAGGTCTTGCAGGCTTTCCTCTATCTGTAGGAAGATTAAAATGCAGGAAGCTCACATATATTGTTTCCCACATGCACAGATTCCAACCTCCAACAAAGAGTCTGTCCAGCAGCTGAACTTCACCTGGCTTTCCACATCTTTTATTCTGAATAAGTGGACAGGAAGCTGAAGTAATTCACTGCCAAACTGGTACTGAAGTGACCCACGATTCTGGAATTCTTTTGGTGGGATCTCTGCCGTGTGCTTCTGCACGTCAGTCAGAGCAAGTTTCTGCCTGGAATGGAGAAACCCAGTGAGATAACATCACAAGATTCAGGGTACAATCTAAAAAGAAAACAGTAATTCTGCCTCCCTGCATTGCAATGCAACTACAATTGTTTCAAAAGGGTTTCGTTATTGAGGGACAAAGATATTTTCCAATGGATACGTTTGGACATGATGCTCAGAACGGTACTCTGAGAAGGTGCGCCCTAAGACAGCAGGACTCAGATCAGAGCCAGCCTGTGCCTTCCTTGGGGAATAATACGGCTTGAAAATTTAAGGAAGGACTGATAGATGAGAAGCTGTGACCTGAAGAAGATCACAGGAACCATGTGTTGTGTCTTAAGGAGTAAATTAAGGGTTATAGAAAAATAACTGATGGAAAACTTCAGAAATTATCACTTAATTTAAACCTTTTAAAAAGTTCATAAAAGCTTTTACGTGTCTGTGCCTCCTGGAAGCTTCAAAAGGAATTAAAAATTGTTAAATACAATAAGAAATGCTACAATCTTTTTACTTGCACTATTATAATTCCCTCCTCACTTGGCCTGGCAAGCTGAATATTCTGGAGACTGCAGAAGATAAAAGGTTCTCATGAAGTTTCAAATCACATTTCCCAAACAAAAAGGGCCCGATAAATTCAGGATTAGTCTTTGGAAAGTACTCAAGTATTTGGAAACTTTTCAAGCAGCACCAAACCTTCATCCTTTGTTATTAAGAATAATTCCAATGAGAGACTGTCTTGGTAAACATTTGCTATCTTTGCTATATTTTCAGCTAAAGGGTTGCATCCTATCCCACCAATTATGTTTAAAATAGGTCATTTAGGACACTATAATAAAGTTAGGCATTTGTACTGACCAACTGAAAATGTTCCAAAAGCAATATTGCTGTACTACACAGCATCTCAAAATCTCTGTAGAAAATTGGCGTGTTTATTTTGGAATCTCTACGATGATCTTCTGTATCATTTCTATCCACTCCTTCCATATGGATTGCAGAGAACTGCTGCAGAAAATAGCATATAACTGCTTTGCAGACAAGCTACTGGAATTTGAATGGAAATCACTACAGAATCAGCAGAGATTTTTTCTCTCTTGAAATTTTATACAATATTATTGAAAGGGCATTTGGGTCAGAAAGTATAACATCAGGTACACTTGGACAGATTTAACTTCCCCTTCCACAACATGATGAATCTATTATGTCTTCATCTTCATCATTTTGGGAAGAGATATAACTGCCTAGAATAGATGGGAAAATGTTATACTCTGAAGAGCAGAGTAAATGAATACTAAAGATAGGATTAAAATGATGAAAAAATAGTAAAACCTCTTGGCTTTGAAAGGTGCTGCAAGAGGCTTATGCTGAACAGGTCTGAAAAATCAGCTTGAAATGTTTTAGGTCCTTGATGTTAGATTTTCTTCCATTGTTTATAACACAGAAAGCTCATTGTAGAAACAACTTCTGAAGACTTGTGTGACATATCCACATCTCAACAGTTATCTTATATTTGGCCCGTTCTGCTGGGCATTGCAAAATACTCAGAGATAATGGGAAAAGTAATGACACTACCCTTTCTGAGGGCTCAAGACCCGAGGAAGAACAGTAAGGCAAAGAGTCTATGCAAGCTTGCAGAAGGAGAGTTGAAATCAGCAAAAGTCCATTGGCTCCAGACTAATGCTCACTTGCAGCAACCTATAATTTGATAAAAGTACTACAGTTGTAGCCAAACTGAACATGTTCATGATTTTAATGAAGCTAATTGGTGATTTATTGATATGAACTTTCTGATGTTGCAGTTTCCAAAACTGTATATTATATCACCAGATTCTTGTAAAAGCTAATGGAGCAATACAAGATTATAGCAGCTGAAGAGTGGGATTGAGGTATATCTTCTGTACAGTAACCTTTATGC